GAGCCATTTGGAAGTTGATATGCACATAATGGGATTTCTGGAGCATTGTTTAGCTTGCTCGACATTGGATTTGGCTTGTTCGAGGTAAGTAACTCTTCTAATCTTGGAGTTGAGAGTATGAACCCTGAATATATGTGTTTTGTAAATTTTTGGGAAGTGACGCATATGCTAGGTGACGGGCGTGTGGGCGTGCACTATAGAAATTGTGACATAATTGTTTCTGTGGAATTTTATAGTTAAATAATCTTGATATTTTTCATGCGGTTTTATGTGTTAAAGAAATTGAGCTGAAAAATATATTAAAAATCATGTTGAGGCTATGTGCCAGTATTATTGGGACCCACATAGGTCATATCTCAGTTTCTGTTGTTATTTATTGATGCATCATATCATCATTTTTGGGCTATTCTCATGACATTGTGAGCCCATGAGAGAGAGACTGGAGAGATTGATGACTGAGGGAGGGCGAGAGCCTGATTGTGAGGATATTTTGGGATCGGGCTACACGCCGCAGCAGGCCATGTTGGCTTTATATATATTATAGCACGTGAGTTGTCCGTGCAGCACGTGAGTTGTCCGTGCAGCACGTGAGTTGTCCGTGCAGCACGTGAGTTGTCCGTGCAGATTATAGTGCTTGGGTTGTAGGAGTCCCTCCGGAGTCTGTACACACACCCAGTGAGTGCAGGTACTTACTGAGTGCGAGTGTCGAGTGCCGAGTGCTGAGTGACTGGGAGGCATGAGTGATTGTGAGGTATGCCCGAGCGGCAAGAGTGATTGTGAGGTATGCCCGAGTGGCACGAGTGATTGTGAAGTTGCCCGAGGGGCTGTATATGAGTGATGTTCTACCCGAGGAGCTGTTTATGATTTTATCACTGAGTTGCATCGCATTGGCATGCACACATGACATACAGGCATAGTGATGTATTTTTTCTCATGTTGTACAACATCACATCATTCATGATTTCTAACACATTTTGACATATGGGCATAGTGATGCATTTATTTTATATGGGTTATCCGGAAGAAAAATGAAACATATTATTTATTATTGAAAAGATTTTTGGAGAAATTTATTGTTTTCAAACTATTCATATTATTGGCAACTTCGGCAAACGATTTGGGTTCTCACTGATGTATTTGAAAGAAAGAACTACTATTTTTGAAATTATTATTTGGCTGAGTATTTTATCCCTGAGTTACTTCTGGTAATTTATTGAACTACTGTGCTCTAATAGCTTGAGAAATCGATCTTGCAAAAGCCAAACGGCAAGTTGATAACAAATGCACATGTGACCATAGAATAGATGCATCTATTAAAATCATATAATAGTAAACGGTCCACATGGTTGGTGACTGGGCCCATATATTTATCACCTTTTATTCATTCCAGAAATCAAGTGATTCAATCCCAACCTTAACTGGTATATCATGAGAATAAGCAGCACAAGAGAATTCTTGAAGAATCTTATATTTCTTCAATATATGTCAATGTAATTCTCAATTAATTTTTCGCATCATAATTGAACCGGGATGGTCAACCGGTCATGCCAACTAATATTTGCTTCAGTAAACCTCTAGTTTACTTGTGACATATGATTCTATCATCATGCTTATATTTGTGTAGTACAAATAGAAAGAAAATCGGGTAACCTTTCATATTTACCCGTTATGATTATAGAAATATGAAGATATTCAATATTTCATTCATTTATAGTCTCAATATGCCAACCACTTTGACTTATACATTTGAAACTCAAAAAGTTTCTTTTGAGACTTTACAATAGTAATGTCATGAATAATTTTACCCATCCGGGTAGTAACAAATTAATTTTTCCGGAGCTCTTAACAACTTTTGTACTACAAGATCCTTTGTCACAACATTCATATGGTAAATATCTCATTCACAGAGAAAATTATATCATAATAAATTTTCATGGTCAAATTCATCATAAGCAAAATTATTTCTTGCTTTAATTTTGCCTTTAATAACCTTTTATAAGGCACAACAAAATATTTTTTGGCATATCACATGTACGCAACCAATGATATATTTATGTAACCACACAATAATATTTATTGTCTTTATTTCACTCAAACCTCCCTTAGAGGTGAGTTGTGAGGTATTCATCTAATCATGCATTGTATGTCTTTATTCATTACTTTTATCACATATTACCACATTCACCTTTAGGAATGGGTCTGCATTCTCAATGCTTATCACAAATCACATTCTCTTCAAGGAATGGATCATAATCAGCAGCGTGCTTTATTATTTTTCATACCAATTTGATGATAAATATTGCCTTCACATTTTGAAGGACTATTTTGAGAACCCTTATTGTTCTTCTTTTATAATCATAGTGGTGATTATAATTATTTTTATCTTTGGAACGCCCACGTTCATTGTTCAACCACTTGTCTTCATTTATTATGCACTGCTACCACATTCATTTTAAGAATGGAGCAAATAAAGTCGGACAATATTCATGCCTTTTCATGAAAAATATATTATCTTTCTTTAGTTATCATTATATCATCAATATGGTATAGTGGGACTCAACCCAATGTCTTACCAATATAAAGGCATGTTAGGCCATAATGAATTGGGACTCAACCCCAACTCTTATCATCATGGAGCATCGGAACTTGATCCTAATGTCTTACCCTCATGGTTCATTGTGACTTGAACTCATTGAAGTTGATATCATCAATAGCAAAGGACAAAAATAATTTCAAATACGAAGAAAATGCTTACCTCTTAAGTTAAACTCTTCATAATGTCAAACAGATATATGAAAATACAAAATAATATTGAAAATTCACATGTGGTCTTTGTTGCAATAAGCTTACTTCAAGATGAGAGTGATATGACCAGAACATTAAGGAAAAATGTTGTATCAAACAGGATAATAGTACTACTAGTTACCATGCACTTTTGTGAAAACTAAGTATTATGCTCTCTACAAAAACACAAAAGATATAGCAGATCCTTTAAGTCAATCTGGGAATCAAAAACAAATAGTGGACAAATCTCTGTCTACTATCTACTACTATATGTTTTTCATATATAAATAATTCAACATGTTAATTTGATAAGAACTATCATCAATGAAAAATTTGGTGTAGTACATACTTCTTGTAGTAATATTTTATCTTATCAAAATAAAATAGTTACGAATATTATTATTATTATATTATATTTGACAGTAAACTAATGTATAATCATTATACTAGGCATACTAAAATCGTATTATAAGGTAAATCCATAAGCATACATAACAAAGTATAGTTTTAATTTTATAGATTATTTAGTATACCGCATGCCACCTATTATTTAGTTCATGAAAATTTAAAAAAGTGACATCCTTAGAAGCCACATAAATACTAATTTTCTAATAACCAGACCATTGCTTATTCCAAATAGTGGTATAAACTTATCTGGTTTAAAGCTTGGACATGTTGTTGTAGCAGAAAAACGTGCTTGTAACGCTATATACCTTTCTGAATAAAATCTAAATTTAATTTGCGAATATGACTCAATAACATATGGACTATAATGGTAGTATTAATGTCCCAATCCATGTGTTAATACATGTAGATATATGTTAAGTTATAGTGTTAAGACTATCAGATATAAGATCACTTTAATCTATTTAACCTATAGTTGTTTAATCCACTGATTCAAGAAACAAAAATTATCTGATATGTTATTCTAGAAAATCTTGTCTTATTGACATGATCAATGTGATAGAAAACTATGCAGTTTGATAGGGTACTTCACATTACCAATACATCTATTTGATCTAAGGAATTAACCAACAGGTTTTCAGGTACAGTATTGTAACTTGGTAGGTATATCTGATATCAAAATCTAAAAGAATTGTTAGGCTTGATAATTTTGACAATAGATCATCGAGATATACCTTAGCGGAAGTGGAATTCAACCTTGCGGTTAGAGACTTCGTGCTGATAACGTGTTATGAAATATAGCTCAAAGTAACAATATAGAACAAGAAAAAACAAGCTAAGAGATATAGAGAGAAAGAGATGAGAGATTCTTATTTCTTCTACAATTGTGTGTATTTTCCTATCTATTGCAAGGCCTTTATATAGGCATGAAAAGTGAAGAAAAGTATGTTATTGAATATGTCATTACGCATTTGAAATGAAAATCATGGAGGAAGATCATGGAGGAAGAATAAACATCCACCATAATTTGATTTTTCTTATAACATAATACAAATATTAGTCATATATAGGTTAAAAATATGACCAAACAAGAAATTACGATAAAGTTAACAAATACTTATTCCGTTTCAATTTATGTAAACTTATTTTCTTTTTAGTCCGTGCCAAAATGAATGACTCATTTTCTTATTTGGAAACAATTTATCTTTATGCAATGATTTATAGTTACACAAAATATATGTGACTCATAGCCACACAAAATATATGTAACTTATTTTACACCATAAGTTTAAAAGCCTTCTCTCTTTTTTTAAATTTTATATTCAATTAAATGAGATCGCATAAATTAAAACGGAATGAGTATATTATTAGTATCCCTAGTACATCCTATCAAACGACCCCTAAGGATGATACGTATGCATAAACTATTGAGAAGCTCTATAATGTATCAAAAGCATCGTTAATTATCATTCTGTCCTTTTCAACTAGAAAACAAAGAGAACAAAGATATAAAAAAAAAAAAAAAAAAAAAAAAAAAAAAAAAAAAAAAAAAAAAAAAAAAGAGAATGACTTCTTTTTGCAAACAGATTTTTTCTCAATTAACAAATGGACACGTCTACGATTGTTATTTACTTGAATACTTCTTTTTGCAAACAAATACAAATTTTTCAAAAAAGAGACGTGTACGAACTATAAACTTTCATATTATTCAAATATAATAAATATTGCTTAATTGTCACTTTCATGTTTTGTCCTTTTTGAAAGTTCCCTTCAACTTACTCCTATTGATAATACAGCCTACAGCTCTGCAACCCCCCAAAAACCATTTATACCTTTATATCTCTTTCTAAACTCCTGAATCTAGCAGAAGCAAAATTCAAAGCTTTTTCCCCTTTCCAAAAAACACATACTATTCACTATTTGATTGCAATTTTGATATTAAAGTTTTGATTTTTCTCTGGCTTTTGCCCTTGAATTGAGGTTCTTGATTAATTTAGCAGAGGCAAAATTCATAAGCAAAGTTCAAAACCTCTTCCCCTTTTCAAAAAACACATACTATTCACTATTTTCACTCTAAATTGAGGTAATCTTGCAATAGAGTTTTGATCTTTATCTGGTTTTTGCACTTGTATTGAGATTCTTGATTAATTTAGCAGAATCAAAAACCATAAGCAAAGTTCAAAACCTTTTTTCCATTTTCAAATCAATTCCTTTCTGCTTCCTCAAAAAACACATAGTATTCACTAGGTAATCTTGAAATAAAGTTTTGATCTTTACCTGGTTTTTGCAATTGTTTTAGTTTCTTGATTTTAGCAGAGGCAAAAACCATAAGCAAAGTTCAAAAATTTTCCCCTTTTCAAAAAAACACATTCACTATTTTCACTCAAATTTGAGGTAATCTTGAAATAAAGTTTTGATCTTTATCTGATTTTTGCACTTGTACTGATTAAGAATTTAAGATTATACCAAATGGTGTTTGAGAAAAATAATAAAGCAAGTTCATCCTCTCATGTTTTACAAATCCCAAGAGAAGATACACCCCTTTTAGCCAAGAATCAACACCTTTCTTCACCATCCAAAACTTTTGCTAATGTATTTATAGCCATAGTTGGAGCAGGAGTTCTTGGCCTTCCTTATACTTTTAAAAGAACAGGATGGATAATGGGTGCTATTATGCTATTTTCAGTAGCCTTTTTAACTTACCATTGTATGATGCTTCTTGTATTTTCAAGAAGAAAAATTGAATCCCATCTTAAAACTTCAGAAATCTCATCTTTTGGTGATTTGGGATTTGCTGTTTGTGGACCTGTTGGTAGGTTTGCTGTAGATGCTATGATTGTGTTATCACAAGCTGGTTTTTGTATCAGTTACATGATTTTCATAGCTAATACTTTAGCATACTGTTTTAATTACTCCAAGTCAAATCCAAGTCCTAAAATCTTGGGGTTGCCACCTAAAACAGTGTATATTTGGAGCTGTTTTCCATTTCAGTTGGGGTTGAATTCAATTCCTAGTCTTACCCTTTTAGCCCCTTTGAGTATTTTTGCTGATGTTGTTGAATTAGGAGCTATGGGTGTAGTTATGGTTGAAGATGTGATGGTTTATCTCAAAAGTAGTCATGTTCTTGAAGCTTTTGGTGGGTTCAGTGTGTTTTTCTATGGTCTTGGTGTAGCTGTTTATGCATTTGAAGGTGTTGGAATGGTTTTGCCTTTAGAAGCTGAGATGAAAGATAAGGCAAAATTTGGTAAAATCTTGGGTTTGTCAATGGCTTTAATATCTTTAATGTATGGTGCTTTTGGAGTATTAGGCTATTTTGCTTTTGGTGAAGAGACTAAGGATATAATTACCACAAATCTTGGACAAGGTTGGCTTAGCAGCTTAGTTCAAATTGGTCTTTGCATAAATTTATTCTTTACATTTCCACTTATGATGAATCCAGTATATGAAGTAATGGAAAGGAGATTTTGTGAAGGCAGGTATTGTCTTTGGATAAGATGGATTGTGGTTTTAGTAGTGACATTTGTGGCATTGTTGGTACCAAATTTTGCTGATTTCTTGTCACTTGTTGGGAGTAGTGTGTGCATTATTCTTGGCTTTGTATTGCCTGCTTTGTTTCATTTGATTGTGTTCAAAGATGAGTTAAGATGGCATGGGTTGGCTTGTGATGGTGCAATTATTGTAATGGCTGCAGTGTTTTCAGTGTATGGAACTTTCTCTTCTATGCTGGAGATATTGGGAGCCAAGGCTTAAAACTGGTTGTTTTTCTTTTTATGTAAAATCTTATTATGGTTGGGATTGGAATTTAATTTACTTTAGAGGAGGGTGTTAATAATCATTAATGCCCTACCAAAAGAGTAAGTTGTCTTTTTTTTTTTCCCTTCCTACCACTTGTAAATTTTGCTTCCATCTAAAGCCATTGATAATAGGCTTTGTGTAATTATGGAGGTTGAGTGAGAGCTATGATAATGACCTATTTAGTGTTCATTGCAATGGTCATAGTTTGATCAAATGACCATTTTGATAATAGGCCTGGGACTTGTCCTATATGTGTGCTTTTTCTTTTATTATAATGAAAGTGTGGCTCTTGAAACATTAGAAAGGAAGCTATTTTAAAGATCAGTTTTGTCAACTTCCATGTGCGGCTGTAATGTGTAATTGGTAAATATCAGAAGCTTTATTACCTACCTCAACTAATTTTAACCTAAGGATGAGTGCCCTCTCTTGCCGCCTCAAAGAATTTCTAGTCATATGACATGAGTACTAGATTAGTTTTTCATAATGATAGTGTCCGACCAGTTTGAGCGCACCTTAAATTATTTCTCTAGGCGTCTGTTATCTCCCACCAAGTACAGGTATCCGGGGAGGTCAGAGTAAGAGAAAGAAGGGAAGCCTCACAATATAAGAGACTTTTAATCTTGCTTAGCCTATTCGATAGTGGATATAATGAATTAGTTAAGGTAACCCATTTAAAAAGTAAGCCTATTCGATAGCGGATATAATGAATTAGTTAAGGTAACCCATTTAAAAAGTAAGGGTGTTACGTACCTACTCCCTCAGTAAAGAAGAAGAAGACATCTATATAATACCATTTTTATCTTTCTTATTTTAATCTAAAAGAGAGAACTAATACCATTTTTATCTTTCTTATTTTAATCTAAAAGAGAGAACTAAAAGAGCAAATGCAACATAAGAGCGGATAGTAGCAGTGGGTATATCTCAGTCAAGAAGATTTGCATACAATTTAAACTTGCGAAAGGAGGAAAAAGCAAGTCTAAAAAATGAGAGTATCAATAGTCATTGGTTCATAAAGACATCAAGATTTTTGACCAAAGTGCAAAGGTCTCATATACATCTTAAACCATTTACATTGTAAGCTGCTTTGTGACATGCTTTGAGCACACAAACTGATTCAACAAACACATTATGTTTACAATTTACATGACTCCAGACATCAATAATAACAACATACCCAGTATACTCTCACATGTGGGGTCTGGAGAAGGTAGTGTGTACGCAGACTTTACCCCTGCCTAGTGAAGATAGAGAGGTTGTTTCCAATAGACCATCGGTTCAAAAAGGTAGAGATGAGGAGAAGAAGAAGAAGAAAAAAAAGAAGTAGAGGGGGAAAAGAGGAAGAAAAAGAAAGGAGGGGAGATAAGGGGAGGGGGGAAAGAATAAGTAGTACCAAAATAGTAACAATAAGAGAATATGATAAGTGAAACAAACTAAACAACATGATGTAATATAGATATCAGAAATAGGAAAGTACAAGCGAGCTACTAGTACTACTGGTAAGAAGTGAGGAAACTCATAGCTACTTACTAACCGTCTACCCTAATCATCGATCTTCACACCCTCCTATCAAGGGTCATGTCCTCAGTGAGCTGAAGTCGCGCTATGTCTTGCCTAATCACTTTTCCCCTGTACTCCTTAGGTCTGCCTCGACCTCTTCTCAAACCCGCCATAGTCAACCCTTCACACCTCCAGATATCGCCCACTGACAAAAGTACCTGGAATGACACTCCATAAGCAGTAGCGGAGCCAAGATTTTGACTAAGGGAATTTATAAAGAAGTAAATGCAGGAAGAAGTTGAAGGAATTCAACATCTATTATATACACATAAAAAATAATTTTGACATAGTATATAGTGTAATTTTCTGGCGATAAACCCCTTCTACCCCTCTAGCTCGGCCCATGTCCATAAGCTAACAAAATCCTGTCAACAAGGGAAACCAAAATCGCAGTCTCATCTGATTTGTAGACCGAAAGCTCATTGGTAAGAAGCATTTGGTCGCCAGGTTCTTATGTTTGACCATTATTGCCCAAACCAAAACATTATCAATTATGAAAGATAAAAACGAGTACCATTACAATACAATTACGTACATTCGTATCTAAAAAGAAAAGAAGAAAACAGGAACAACCTTGTTTCAAGGGGAAATATAGTATAAATTGATCAAGAGGAAGCCATCAATCTCAAACTTGCAAAGTTGAAGTATTAGTACGCATATGAAATACTAGTATTTACAATTTACTATAGTTCCCATAAGCATGTTCATAGATACAGATATCCAGAAACAAAGACAAGCTGTTATAGAAGCAAGCATCAATTGCCAAATGAAGATCAGAAACTCTGTCAGTATTTTGTCTTGCTTCTTGTCTCAATCAAAGTATTTAAACAACGTATGACAGTTTCTAAATTGGTCATTGGCTGATCATGTCGTAATTCTCTGCATGTAGATATGGATGGTAGCTACCTGGATCTTCCATCTTTTCTATTACCTGGTCCATTCCTGCATATCCATATTCATAACATCTACTTCAGAATTATAAAAAAAGAAAAGGGACAATGCATAAATTGGATATTCAAGGTCGATCCATTTTTTGTTTGTTGTTGAATATTGTTAGACGATGGATTTAGGCTTAACTCAACCACAAAAACTTGCTCGTGAGGTGAAGTGATCATTCCCTCAACCAACATGTAACGCTTAACATCCTTCACATGATTCAGGGTTGGTGATCTAAAGCATGTAAAACATAACATGGGGGCTCAATATTGGGTAAATCAAGAATGGGGTTGGATATTGCTCTGATACGATATTAAGAAACTGGATCCGGGCCTAACTCAACCCCGAAAGTTAGCTCAGGAGGTGAGTATTAACAAAGACCACAATAAGGAGACAACAACGCTCAACAACCATTAGGGGAGATTTGGCGAACTGAGGAAAGAAAATTCGCGCTGAAGTTAACACATTTCAAGACCTGCATATTAACAATTTTAATTAGGAATTCTCATGAAATAATTCCATCCTACTTCTATATAAGTCACCATAATTCAAGCTCACTTTGCCAACGAAAAGAATATGTAAGCAATAAAAAAAAGATATTCACTATTGGATGAAGGGGAAATGTCTGAATTTATCCCTTGACTTTGCGAAATATCTTAATGTCATCCTATGTTATACATTTGGGGTCATTCATATCCTTGTTGTCAGAAAATCATCTCACATTTGCCACTGACTTTAACGGAGCTCTAGCGTGGATTAATTAGGTAGATTTCACGTGTCAAAATACTTAGATAAAAGAGGTCCATATTTACTATTTTACTTTTGGCAATAATTTAAAATTACCATCCGTATTACTTCGGCTAGGATTCACGCTAGAACTCCATTACAGTCAAGGAAAATACGAGAAGATTTGCTAACTATAAGGATATGAATGAAAAGCATAACGAATGGTAGAATTAAGATATTTCATATAATAGAGAGTACTTTTACCCTTCTCCTAAAACAAAATGATGCTACAGGATATAATCTTTTTTTTTTCTGAAAAGAGAACATACTTGGATTAGACATTGCATAGAAGGACAATTGGTCAAAACTTCCAGTTGGATTTGAACTACCCTCTTCAGTTCTTGAAGTTGGCATATGAGAAGATTGCAAATCCTCTGGCTTTGTTTTCTTTTCATTAGGTGATTCGACCTCTGTCTCCACCTCTGATTCAACGTTGTTCGTTGCACCACCGCCCTGTTGTTTCCTTTTCGATCGAGCACGTCTATTTTGAAACCAATTATAAACATTTGTTTCAGAAATTTGTCCATGCTGAGATAATTCAAAGGTTATATCTTTAATCTTTTGTTTGCTTGGTGTTCCATTGCCTTGATCGAAAATACGTTCAAGAATCTGAAGTTGCACAGGCGTTGGCGTCCAACGTTGTCTGCCACTGATTCTGTGGCCAGCTGATGTTATCAGCGGATCACAATATAGATTCCCCAGCCTTGTTCCTGAGATAGCAGTAAAAAGCATTTTGTTTAATTGTTAGATGAATTTTAGTTCAGTCCATTCATAGAGATATATTGTATATTAGAAAATACAAAGGTTAAATGGAGCAACGCGAACAGTGAGGATTCAAGTAGCGGATCCAAACTTACTTGGCCAAACTACTCTTATATGGTACATTCACAATATTAACAGACATGGTACATTGTTAATTGAATTGTAGACTAAAATTGACAACTCCCCTTTCATTTTTTAAGCAAATTAGATCACTAATAAATGGGGATACTAGGAAAATTGAACTCTTCTAGTACATATTGTCATCAGAAAATTGAACTCTTCAATCATATGTGTCATATTCCCCCTGTTTGAGTGATATCCTGACCTTTCTTTCCATAGGAAATAGTGCTAGGAAAATTAAACTCTTCTCGTTTGGTATGAGGGATAAGGAATAATTAATCCCGGGATTAAATGTGAGATGGTTTAATCTACGTTTGGTTGGAATAAAATCGCGGTATAATTAATCCACGGATTAGTTATCCCGGAATTGTAGTGTTATTTTTATCCTTATAGAGTGGGATAACAATCCCGGGATAGCTAATCCGGGATAATTAATCATGAGATAACTTGCTTCCCAATCAAATGACCCCTTAGTACTACTCATATTTACTTAATAAGAACTGAAAGAAATAATGTTGGGCAAAATACAAAATTGGCCGACCGAAACTAATTACATTCGCTGACCTAAAAGTGTATAAAATATGTACATTATATGTATATAATACACATATATATAAAAAAAATATATATTTTGTTGGCTATTATTTTTCGGAGTAGCTAAAAAATATATTTCTCAATAATGTTGGCATAAGTGCACAACATACAACAACGAAGGCAAATAATCATATGATAATTCAGTAAATTAAAAATAAAACTTACTAGTGGAAGGGTAAAATTCTATACTAGAAGGAAAGAGCTGCAAAATTATTTAGGGCATTTTTAAGTTGAAATGTACTTAGACAGCTTTAACCAAGTAATTCCAGAAATATCACGCAGCTATAAAAAGTAGTAAAAGTTTCCAACGATCTTCTTATTTATTTAGGTAAACCTTTTGAACTTAATTAATAGTAAAGTAAATATTTATATTATCATGTAACGTAAAAGATAATTACAGCAACGTTCATAAAGATGAAATTAGTAACATGAAATATAAAGATAGTATATAATTCCTACTATAATATGTTAAACTAAACTATAGTTTATGAGTTCCTTTACACTATTACTATCTGTGGTGCCTTATTTTTCAAATAATAAAAAAAACATTTCTGTTCACAAGATATCCCGAATTCAGACAGGGTTCGAAAAAGGGATGTAGACCTACCTAATGCAAGCATTAGTGCCTAGTTTACTAGTGATCTTAAGTCCAAAGTTTGAACCCGTAACCTATAAGTCATAGAGGAGACAAATTTACCGATGTTCCAAAACTTACTTCGAATTATTGTGAACGTTATATGTAGGTGAATTTTTTTTTGAACTCATAAAAATCAGATTAAACAATATGCAAAAAGTATGAGTATATATATAGACAATAATTAGAGAGAGAGAGAAGAGAAGGGACCAGCAAGATCATGTTGGGAAGCCATGGATTTGTGCAAATCAACTAGCTGTTCACAAATGACAGCGTACACTGCAATTTGCTTACGTAGCACTTCCATTTGCTCATCAGTCATTACTTTTACAAACATCCCTCCTCCTCCTCCGGCGGCGCCGTTCATATCCTCCGCCCTCTGCGGTGGCTGCTGCTGCTGATTTTCCCACTCCATTTACAATAACTTCTTGCTTTTGCTTAATTAATTGGTCAAAAAGTCAGAGAAAATTTGTCTGAATATGAGAATTTCTCTCTCTGATTTCAAGGGTATGATTTGAAGTAAATGCAGAGTCAGTAAACTAATCAATAAAGTCAAGCAAAGAAAATAGGAGGAAAGAGACAAAAATGGAAACCAAAAAAAAAGGTAACGAGAAAGTAACGCAAAAGTTGGAGAAAAATGAAGAGGGCAGACAGTAAAGCCGAGAATTTGACGTACTATTTGTTTTGTGGGGCATGCGCACCAATCAAATAAATTTTTTTATTAACATTCTTACAATATTTTAAAATGTTAAAACATTATTAAAATACAATAAATTCTCTAACCCTAGTAGAACGAATTGGTACTAGTAATAAATTTGTGACAATATTAAATGGAGCATAAAAGCCCAAATCGAGATATCTTGGGATCGAAGTACAGTTTTTTTTGTTTTTAAAGTACAGTGTTTTATCTAATCCATAAGCATGATATGACCTTTTTCCAGAATAGAGAGAACTTCGCAAATTTCTCATTGCTAAAAAAAAATGAATTCTATAACTAAACAGAATACTCAATCGTTAATTCTATTAGTGACGGATTAACTACAAATTATCAAAAAAAATTATAATCGTTACTAGAGATTTAAAGACAGCCCGAAATTCGTAGCTGATTTCATTTTTTCTTGTAGTGTCTTCGGAATCATGGATCTTTCAATATATTTGCTGCCCATGTCATGTAAATTTTTACTGTCTTTTATTTTTTTTAAATAGAGTTTATATTTTGAAGTTGCATAAAAATACTATAAGCCATAACAAATATTAATTTTAATATTTAAAACTTTTTAAAAATGATTAAAACCCCTATTTAATTTTTTAAATAGTAATAATGTTACATATAATTTAATAAGGGAGGTAATAGTTTCAAAAAGTCAAAAAATTATACTCCTTCTATCTTATTTTATGTAAAGATATTTGACTAACTCGCAAGTTAAATATATGTATAGTATCCAAAAGAAAGTCTATCCCATAAAATAGTACCGAGGTAATAATATTTTAAAATTGCTGCATATACTTTTATTATAAAAAAATCGTGAAATGCATTATTTCTATATAATTTCCTAATATATAAATCTTTTACTCTAAACTTCTTAAAATTAAGTTGATAATTACATGCTAAAATTTTAAATGTGCACGCTTATTATAGTTTTGTTTATTTTTGTAAAATAGAAAATAACCTTCAAGAATTTTGGTAGAATGGATAAAATCTCTCCATCCCTAATTGGAGGTTTCGGGCTCAAGTTTTGGGAACAAAAAAATCTAATAGGATACACTTCCCCTTTTAATGGGACGGATATTGAGTAGTGATGTCAGATTCATCTGAACTCAATATTTTCGACACGAAATATAGATTTATATATAAAAATTTACTAATATGTAACAAATAATAGGTCTGAATTCATAAGTTTAAAAATACAATATATTCCGTGCGAAAAACTTTAAAACTTGAAGTCACAAAATTAAAATCTTAAATACGAATGTGTCAGCGTATTCGTTAATTAGTTAATCAATGGATGAATGTTGTTTGCTTTCTTTTTTCCGTTTTTTTTTTTTT